CTCCCAGAATTCCCCAGCCAGCATGCTGGCTGGGGAATTCTGGGAGTTGAAGTCCACACATCTTCAAGTTGCCAAAGTTGAGAAACACTGCCTTAGACACTCCCCTGCTCCGGTCTGTTCTCCTGGCACCTACCTCATTCCCATCCCAAAGCAAAGCAGTCTTGCTAGCTTCGGGTTTATTTGCAGGCAGAAACGTCCTTGGGTGTCCGTGTCTATCCAACAAGTCACAGTGCATATAAAAAAAGACGTGGGGCTTCAACTGCATGGCTGCAGCCACCATCTTGACTTCTTTGACACTTTCTTCCCACAGGCACCAGTGCTTGCAAGAATGTCTTTGGGCCCCACAAAGGCCTTGCTGGAATAACAGGGAATATCCCCAAGAACTGTTTGCCTATTAGTAAGTTTCTTCAGACTGAAATGCCCATCTTTGCCGGGTAAGTTGCTGGCTCACATATGGCCATTTTATCAGATGGCCAGCACATGCTCTTAACATGTCAAATGTGTCCCTAGTCCAAAACAGGTGGCCTACTCCATCTTACATCTACTGACTGCCTGGCTAAGACCAACCAAGTAAGATTACTTTGAAAGACGAAAATATACAATCTGTACTAATGGTTGGCCTTCCTGAAATGATCCGTCATTCTCAACGGCTTTGGACAGCTCTGCCATATGAAGAGAGAGGGGGACCCTCCTCCCCAAAGTAAATTCAGTGGACTTGGTCCCAGTCTTGAAAAGGGTCTTTGTGACCTGGTGGCACTACAGGAGTAGGTTTCTGTCATCCAGTGTGCAGTATCTGTACTAAGAGCAGAAGCATAAATCACCAGAAGCCTGGACCTTAGCAAGAAACACCGTAGGCAGACATTTGTGGAAGGGCCAGCGAGACCTACTTCTGAATAAAAAATCTCTTCAGATATTAACTCTAGTGGCTTGGACCTGTGACTTCACAAGAAATAGACATTTGTAGAAGAGTGAGTGAGACCTACTTCTGAATGACAAAAAACCTCTTCAGGTATAACTCTAGTGGCTGCAGATCTGGGAGCAAGAGGCCTCTGCTCTTGCCCTATTTGTCAATGCAACAAGGCCTCCTGATTGTATTATGCTGACAAGTAGCTATGTTTGATGGCTGCAAACCCAGCACCTTTGGAGGACTTGCATTTTTCTTACACCCACACCTAAAAGTCAAGCCATCTTTTTTAAGGGCTGGGTTGAAAAAGTGTGGCCCACCTGCATCCATGGGGGGGGGGGGAGAATAAGCAGGAGCAAAAATGCGGGGGAGGGCTCTTCCCACATTTGGGAGAGGGTTAAGATTCAAATAGTTGCCTTAAGGTTTGGAGATGCAGGAGGCATCCATTCCACTTAAAATGCCTAAACCCGCCTCCCCACCTGGCCTCCGGTCCTGTCCACTTTTGGACTGTGGCCCTCCATCTGCCAAACAAAGCCTGCATTGGCCCTCAAGCCAATGGAAACGGTATGCCCCAACACGATGAACTTATAGTAAGTCCTGCTAAAGGTACTGTCTTCCTTTACTTTTTGATCCGCTCCCCAGTCCCACCTGCAACTTGATGCAGTTTCATTTGCTGAAGGGCATTCCCCAAATCCTGGAACGCTTCATCACAGCCAAAGAATACGTAGTCAACATCCAAGGAAAACACGCTTTCCTGCCCCACGGTTGCCAGGAACGGCAGAATCTGCCTCTGTGCTTCAACATGTTTCTTAGCAAACGTCATCTGAAACAAAACTGGCCTTCCGACGTTGACTGCGTTTAAAAATCAGAGCTATTTTTAGCCCACCATTTGTTTTGCTTTCTGGATTCCTTGAGGACTTTTCAACCTCAGGCCCCTACTAAAAGCAGCTCTCTTCTTTCCAGCAACTTCTGCTGAACTTGGTGTGGACTCTATGCATGTTTTTTTTTTAAAGTGTGACCTCTACAGAATATTCCCCCAGGTGTTAATGTGAAATAAGGGTAACCCCTAGAAGATCCCCAGCATAACAAAACAGTACTGTGCGGGCCTCCCTCACAGTTCTCACAGGATTGTGTGGCTTACATTTCCACTCCTTGCTTCTTGCCCATGTTCTATTTCTCTCACTGCACCTTCTCAGAAAGAAAGAAAGAAAAAAAACCCACACTAAATTTCTAAACACCAAAGAGCTGGGAGATTAGATATGAATTGTATCAGTTGGACTTTCCTCCATTACTTACTGGACTATTTCTTAAAAGTGATGTAAAATGCAGAATCTCTCTCTCTCATACACACACACACACACACACGCACACACACACACACTGCCCTAACAGCAACCCCCAGAATTCCAGCCAGTGCCACCCCTGCACATTTGGAAGGCACCAGGTTGACATCAAAATGCAGAGGCTCTCAAGGTCAACTCCTCATGACTTCACAGAATTGTAGAGCTGGAAAAGATGTTAGATGTCACGTAGTCCAACCCACTACTCAGTGCAGTATCCACTTCAACAACCCTTGATAGATGACTATCCAGCCTGTTTGAAAACCCTAAGTGAAGGAAAACTCACAACGTCATGTGGCAGCCTGTTCCGATAGCTGACAGCTCTACAGTCAAGACATTTCTCCTGATTTCTACCTGAACCTCCTTCCTTGTAGCTGTAGCCCATTTGTTCTGGTTCTGCCCTCTGGGGCAACAGAGAATAAGTCCATTCCCTATTCTTTGTGATAGCCCTTCAGATATTTGAAGACTACTATCTTATTACCCTTTAGTCATCTTTTATGTAGGCTAATCATACCCAGATTCTTCAACCATTCTTAGTAGGGCTTGGTTTCCAGACCCTTCACCATTTTGGTAGCCTCACAGAACTTGTTCCAGTTGATCATTGCCTTTTTTGAAATGTGGTGCCCAGAACTGAACACAGCATTGCAAATGGGAACTGACCAGGGCAGAGCAGAATGGAACAACTACTTGCTATGATCTGCACTCTATGCTTTCATCCATGTAGCTCTCTTGGCATTAGTACAGGAGTGGTTTGCTATTGCCTACTTCTGTAATGCTTTTTCAAAATTTTTACTCCATGCCAAACCAGAATTGGAGGAAAGAAGAAGATGCTGAGCCCTTTTTAGGGACAGAGTCTGTGTAATGCCCATAACCTTAGCATTCTTTATTGGGATCCCCAACTAAGTACCCAGAAAAAATGCCCTTAAAACATGGAGTAACTGGGCAGTCTGGTGGGCTGACAGAACAGTCTTAGCTCTTTGCTTTAAACCAGGGTAGAACTGTGCTCCAGGAAGGAGCAGAGCCCATGTGCGAGATGCACAGCCATTGTGAAGAAATAATGAAAATATACTGAAGGAGTGTGGGAAAGAAACATTAACTGGATGAAAGAAGGAAA